CTATAGTTTCTCATTGCATTCAAAATCGTGTTTTTAGAAAAAATTCCTAAAAAAAATATTAGTGAAACGCAAATTTCTATAGTTATTTTTTGTATTTGGTAACAAGAACGTAAGGTACACAAAATAATAAATCAATAATAAATTATAAATTATACAAAATAAATAGATGACCGAAAAAAAAACAGCATTTCAAAACTTAGAAAACATTTAAAAATTTAAAAAGCGTCAGGAGGCATTGAAGTTTTAGCAAATGTAATTTTCCTCAATGCCAATCTCGAAAATGAATTATTTTCAGACATTTGTATATTGCGATTTCCTTTGTTATTTTAACCACCTGAATTCAAATTTTAAATTTCGACAATCACTCCTGAAATACCTTGTATATTAAACTTAAATGTCTTATTTTAGGTAAATGTAAATAATAACAGTAGTAGATGTATAAGGGCGCTTTTGGAAAAATGATGTATGTACTTTCACCTATAAAAAAATATTGATTTATAGTTAACTAATTTTATCATCAACTAATGTTAGAAAATTTACAAGTTTACTTTTTGTACTACTTTTGTTGACTTTTCTATAACCCCATACATCTAATTCAAGTAAACTTCTTTTTCTGTCAATTGTAAGAAACAAAAATTAAGCGCGTTCCTCTTCCGTGGCGCCTGGAACCAGTACGTGTATACATATACATATAATTATTATATCCCATACAATTTGTTTCCTACTTGCACAGAGGCATTAGTTGCAATGGAAATCGACTAACAGAGTGGCAATATATGTAAAATATTATACCCATAGCATAATGTTATAAATATCAGTTTGCAGTAAACAGAGTAAAATCTGCTTCAATTTCAAATTACTTGAGTTATTGCGACTATAACATGCTTTGTAGCTACTTCCTCCAGTTTCAGTGTATAACGACCGAATGATTTACTGTTTCATTAACATGTCTTTCTGATAATAATTTATTTTAGAATTATATGATTATGATATAGTCCAATTAAATAACCCTATAAATCGCAAATTTGGTCAGCTTGTCTGAATTTTTGATATAAGTTAGTTTGATGTATATAATAACAATAAGTGACAGTAATTTTTTTTTCAACTCCCGGCCAGGGGTGAAAAAAGATAAAATAAAGGGGTTTTTCAAGATAACTCAAAAGGTGTAAGAACTAGAAAAATAAGTTTCTTATAAAAGTTGTAGAGCATAAAATTGTACATAAAAATGGTTTATTGACTTTTTCTTGTATTATTAAAATTAACAGAGTTAGGGAAACTAGAAGTTAAGAGATGATTTCAGAAATTTAAAAAATCATAAGTAGAAAAATTAATAAATTTTATAATTTTTTTTCCAATTTACTCTTAACAATATAACCTATCTTTTCAGGGAAATAGACATAATTTTTAATTTTTAATAAAAAAAGTTATAACAATTTCTCAAAGCGAACGTGATTTTTTATTTTTACAAAATTTCGAAAACAACTTTTTTTATTTTAAATAATCGATCGAATGTCAGAAAAAATATATTTTAGCGTTAAATAATTAAAATTAACGATTAAAAAATTTTAATTGGTTTAACTTTTTTATTAAAAATTAAAAAATATATCTACTTTTTTTTCTAGTTCTTACTTCTTTTGAGTTATATTGAAAAACCCCTTTATTTTATTTTTTTTCACCCCTGGCCAGGGGTTGGAACAAAAATTACTGTCACTTATTGTTATTATATACCCTAAACTAACTTATATAAAAAAATCAGGCAAGTTGACCAAATTGCGATTTAAAGGCTCATTTAATTGGACTAATTAAATATTGTTCATCTAACAGTTAATATCATGAAATTTTAAAGCTACACTCACACGAATTTTATGTAAAATTATCTGACATAAGTAAAATGTACACTTTTCTCATCTTTGCTTTTGTAGAAATATTTTTACAGTAGGTATAACAAAAACACATCTAAGTAAAAAGTAACAATATCCTGTAAAAAGAAGTATACTAAGAGTCAACTTCTTAATCACACCAGAGTTAAAATATAATAAAGTTTGTTTATTACCATAGTAACATATTGTTGTCACAAAAATTCCTTTAAAAAGGCACGTTTTAGTTTATTATGAAACCGGCCCTTAGGAATACAAAGGAGAAAGACCTTAACACATACATTTACACAACGTATCACTTGTGCAAACGTTTATATTTTTACAAACGTGTGAAAGTTAGTATCTAATAAAATAAGTCATAATTTTAGTAACTGCATACTGCATACAAAATAGGTATCTATTATTTTTTCAATATTTATTACCTGTGATAAATGAATTATTTTTTTAAATGTATTTTAAATGCAATTTTAACAAATTCACAAATTTAAAAATCAATTTTGTCAAACGAAGTCAAACAATCTTTTTTGATACCAAAAATTTAAGTACGCAAAAGATATCTAACCTCACAGACAAAACTGCCAAGATTACTGGAAATAACCACCTGAGATATACCTCTACAGTACGTGATAGACAGCTTGTAATAAATAATTCAGAAACAAGAACTAAACTAAAAACTAAAAGTGTATAAATATAATTAATACAAAAACCTGTAACTCATATATTGAAATTGTTAAATAATTCAATTATTCAAAGAAATATTATGTATTCTTGCTGTCATATTATCACTCTCAACAAAGATTAATCACGCAAAAAGTTGCTGCTACAAAGATATTTTTTTGTTTGCACATCTTAGGTTTCATCAGGTAGCATCAGGTGATAGGACAGCAATAATACAGGATATATAAATAATCGCTTTATTTAATAATTTCACTATATCAACTATGTGTTTTTGTATTAATTATATAAAGGGCGATTCACAAATTATCCAAAAAAAAATTTTGGATGTACAGGGGACTCTTACAAATACAATTTTGTAAATAAAAAATCAAAAAGAGCAGTTCGAAAATGATTTAAAAATACACTTCTGCACGGCACTNAAATATATTTTTTTATTATTAATTTCCAATAAATGTAACATATTTTATAAAAATATAATTTATAGATTACGTCAGCTATATCTATTATTTATTATTAAGCATATATTACCTTTTTTTCTAATAAAACAGAAAGCTGCTATATTTACTTGTAAATGTATTGTTAATACTTATTATACAAATGAAAACTACTGTTCAATTTTTTTAATACAAACTTAAATTCGAGTTATATAGAAAATATTCACCAATTTATGTGAAATAAATACGAAAATATACAGAAAATGGCACAAAAATTGTACTATTGTCAGTTGAAGCATAATTTGGAGAACTGAATAGAAAAATTATGTCTTTTAATGAAACAACATTAGTATTAGTAAATATTCGAATTTATTTGCTAATTCGGCAAAAATATTCTCACCCATTTTTTAAAATTCCACACGGATTGCTGTAACTATAACTATTAATTTTTCAGTACAGACCAGTGGTTCTTAACCTTTTGTTTACCGCAGATCTCTTTTCAATATTTTTTTGTTGTTGGGGGCCCCCAGTTACTTAGATATAAGTTCCAATTTAAATGGGTTTGAAATATTAATTCTAAATTGCACATCAAACGTAAATTTTGAAAAGATTAACAATAAGTTACACTCTGACATAAGAGAGTGCATTTTCTTAATTAGTTTTTATTAGCCATCAAATGTCCCTGAAAACTTCCGAAGCCCTTGGGAGGAGATGACGGACCCCCAGAGGTCCGTGGACCACAGGTTAAGAACCATTGGTCTAGATCTAGACAATAATTTCTTTAAAAATCATATATTTTTCTGCAATAATTACCCAATTAAGCACACAATTCAGTTCAGGTAATTTTTTAAGTAATTTATTTCACAATGTTAATTTATTAGTTGTACTAAATTCTCACTTCAAATGTATGCTATTTATTTGTATAAAATTTTTATATCACCATTTTAGGAAACATTTGGAGTATCACTGTGTAAGAAAATATTACAACATTTCTTTATATACAAAAGAAATACAGATAAAAACACCGTATGTAACGCAAATCTACTATTTCTGTTGACCTTTCTCCTGATCAGCCAATATTTCATATTTGAAAATTATTACGATTAACTTATAAACCGCGAAGTAGATAAGTCGTCATCTCACGCAACATCCGCTGGACGTGTCTCATTTAATCTGGTGATCAAGCGGATATTAGAGTAACAAGAATAATTTTAGTATCCTTTATCAAATTAAATCCAAACCGATGCGGGCTTCCCAACTGTCAAAATTTACGATCTGTCTAATCACTATACCGTTAAAAAGACTGTATATTAATATAAGTGGACATTATATAATTATCAGGTTTTAATAAAATCTATTAACGTTGATAAAAGGCAAATAAATTATGAATTAACATAAAACATTTTTGCATGGCTAACATGAACACATCAGAAGTTTTTGTGGTATTTTTTATTATATTTTAATAAGTATAATTTACATTCAAATAATATACTATTAGCATGTACTTAAAAATACCTCCCGCTCATTTTTATTCAAATTTTGCTTCCACTGTAATGTAACAAATTTGAAGTTTGTTACATCAATATTTCCCAGTAACTTATCAGAAACTGTGTTGAATTCCAACATGTATTTGAAGGATCATAATATACAGGGTGATCCATTAACGGTATCGAGCGGCTATATAGGATACTAGACGTGCTACGATTATGGGGTAAAAAATCTATTAACAAATACGACCAAAAGAAATTGATTTAAAATATTTTCAAGTTTGTAACTTCACCGCTAGGGGGTGCAACTGCTATAGTGTTACAGAAAATTGTCGGTTTTTCGAAATTTCGCNATCCATGAAAACTATAGAATCCTAAAATTTTAAAATTATCCTCTCTCTAACTATGGCGACCTCAGATGTAGCTAAATATCACATTAAATGTGAAACACCCTGTATATTGTATGTAGTAAACAGTAAAACAAAAAGAATTATTTTTTAATTCCAAATTTTCCTTTTTTTCAGTTGATAATGAGGCTGAGGACACACACGAATGTTTCGTTTTCATATCAGATAAACTGGCGGAGGAAATAACACTAACAATTGGCCAAGCCTTCGAACTAGCCTATAAACGGTTCCTGGAAACTTCTGGCAAGGACTTGGAATCCCAGCGCAGGGCGATGATCACACAACAGAAGATAAAAAGGTTGGAACAAGAGAACAACGTTTATAAACAAAGGCTGTTGGAAATATCTCAGTTTAGTAGTATTAGGCCTGAACTTGATCAGTATTTGAGGAAGAATGATATCAGAAATATATTGGAAGTGAAGTCGTCGTTGAATAATAATAGTAACTCTTCTAGTGATAATACGACTGTGAATAACTCAAATCAGACTAATGGAACTACAAAGGAACTTTTAGATCTTAATTCAGAAATCACGAATGGAGGTAACTTTCTAAACAATTGAATTGTTAAAGTGGAATTCCATTCTTCGCCATTGTGTGTTAAAAAAAAAAATTGATTTTCTCATATATAAATAAATGTTGGAATTTCCACATTTCTATTTGTTAATAAAAAGTGATATAATTTATTATATTCACATGATAATTAAAATATGATTATATAGTTAATTTAATATTAAAATGATAACAAACTAAAAGTTATCAATGTAATTTTTTTCATATCTGCCCATAATTATTTCATATGCTATTACAAATTAGAACAAAATAACTAAGAATTGGCAAAAATTTTAAATTGATATAAATTAGAAATTAAGATAACCTTTTATTATAATAACAAATACATAAAATTTGTAATTTGTAAATTATCAAGTTGTTTATTTGATATATTTTTAGCTCCACCCGTACCACCAAGATCATTTGAAAATACTCCTGCAGTGGGCACAAAACTGGAAGGCTTGTTATTAAATGAATTAGAACATGACAATGATTTTGATCCCCGATCTTTTGAAAACAACCACAATACCCAATTCTACCCTAACACCAATGGCAACACTTCAAGTCCACCACTAAGTAAGTATCAACAAGAAGAAAAATTTTTAAACTGCATCACTACAACATTCATATAACAAAAGGTTACTTTTTCCACACCTATTTGAACAACCGTTATTGTAAAACCAAAACTGACAATCAGTTTTTATTGAAATGTGTGATTTTACTGATCAATTTGTGAGAACCTTCCTTTAAAATTATAGTAGTTTTTTCCTTTATATACATAATTAAATAATTTTGCTTTGAAGAAATCCTTCATGTTAATTAGTGATGATGATGCTATAAATTGTTAATATTTTTCTGCCATTACTATCAGTAATTCATGTTATTGTTTGTGTCTGTCTGTATGTGAATATTTTGTAATTGTGCTGGAAAATTAACTGCTTTCTTTATTTTTCATTTTTTTACTGAAAAAACATGTTATTTTTATTTTAAATTTCAGTTGCACCACCTCCGAAGGCACCTAGACGTAGTAATCTCAGCCTTAATACCAATAACGGTAATAATAATGGTGATTTCAAAACTTCAGGTCAAGATTTGTTTGGCACTACACCATTTACACCTGCTCTAACGCCCTCTCCAAACAGGTATAAACGTTTTTCTATTTACTTTTATTTCTAGTCTTAAATCAACGTCTACTTAGAAGAAATATTTTTCTATATACAATTTGCATTAAAATTAGCACTCTTAAAATGGGTCTCAGTTTCAAAGTATGTTTTCTTTATTAATTATAGGCCTCCTTGTCAGTTCCTCACTTACGATGCTAAGATGGAAATATTTATTGAAATTTTAGTTTTTAGGACATATACAGTGAAAAAGAGAATAATCCCTGAAATTTTAAACAGTGTCTGTTATTAATTGAGATATCCAGCTAAATTAATAGTTACTGATTTCTATGTCGTCTCCTTGTATTGTTTTTTTTTACTACTGTTATGTCTTTAATATTTAAATATTTACAACAAACAAATAAAATTAATAATAGCGATGAGGTTCTGAATTTCTTTCCCCTTTTATATTTTAGAAACTAAAATTTCAGTTAAAATTCTCTTAACATTGTAAATAAGGAATAAACTTTTAAAATTTTTTATTTATAAAAAAAAATTGTCAAAATTAGAATAATTATTGACAAGGAAATCAACCATGATAAAATTATTTATTCAAATTTCAGTTTTCAGGACAAATAGAGAGAAATAAAGTGAGAATAACTGTTTTCTTCGAAATTTGGAACATCCTATAATTGGGTTTTTTAAATAGTTCATGTTATCTCTGTTATTAATTGAGATACACAATTAAATTAATATTTGATGGTTTTTAAGTAGTCACTTATTTTTTATTACTATTTGTGCCTTTAATTTTAAAACTTTAACATTAACAAATAAAATTAATAACAGCAGTATTTATTTCTTTCCCCCTTTATATACCAAAATCTAGCATTTTGATAAAAATTCTACCACAGCATCTTAATTGAGGCATAAACTTTTAAAAATTTTATTTTAATCAAAAGGATTGTCAAAATTAGAACAGTCATTTGGGTAAAATCAATTTTGAAAATGTTCTCATTTTAGTGGTGTATTATTTTTGTTGGGAAGTAAATTTTACAAGTTTCATTAATTTTTAGTGTTACTAGTGGCAAAATACTGGATCCATTTGAGATGGGTGATTTTGGAAATGCAGCTACTCCTCAAGACCTTGAAAATGCTATTGGACTATTAGATAAGAGAATACTTGAAATGAAGGTAATAATGAGATAAAATAGGGTAGTTTTGACGTTTTCCGGCCTTTGCTAGTTCTTAACTGCAAGGGAATACTGTATTCAGTAACAGCAAAACCATAAATTACAAATTAAAAGAATTCCATGCCTATTTTCGGTCAATTTTGTATCTATAAATTTGAGTATTGCAGAACATGATTACATTGACAATTTATTCACAAATAAATTCACGAAGTTCTTCACGAATTTATTCATAAAGGGTTTGGTTTTACACTGCTACCGACTTCATGAATTTCTTTGACACAAATTAGTTCTACCAACAAATCAAAGTAGCAAATAAGTTTCAAATTTCATTCAAAAAAATGTCTTACATTTCCACATATACGTAATGGTACAACAGTAATACCATTTTGACACTGTTTATAAATATTAGTTTTTGTAAGCAACAGATCAATAAAAACAATACACAAGTAGTACAACGCCACACAAGTATTTACATATGCCAACAACATAACCTCCAGAGCTGGGCTAAATACTTTCAAAATGTATTTAAAATACTAATTACAAAATACCAGTACGAAAGTATTTTAAAATACTTAAAAACAAAATACTTCTTTGACAAAGTATTTTAAATATAAATTACTTAGTATTTAAAATAGTATTTTAAGTACCTATGTTGAATATTAAATACATATATTGAAAATATTAGCAGTACTTAAAATATTTTTGTGAAATATTAACTTTGAAACTCTTAAGGTATGATTTATAAAAATATATATTTATGTGCGAAGTAAGCCCGCTTTCAAAATCATCAAAAATTAAAAAAAAAACTGTGTGGAAACAATCATTTTCATCTGCATTACTGAGATGTAGAATATTTAATTCACTCATAATTTTTTATTAGTTTTTCTTAGAATAGCCCACTAATGATAAAAGAAATTAATTTTGAATTTTGGTGATTGACTACTGACTTGACTAGTGATGATAGTGACCTAAAAGGTAGTAAACAGAATGGCAATAACACAACGCACATTGCAGAATGTAGCGTAGAATGCACTAAATTCTAAAGTGCAGGTGCGTATTTTTTTTAGCACGTGTTGTACCAGTCGCTAGTCGTAACAGGCAAAAAGTATTTGTTTTTGGAAGGTATTTTGGATATTTTAAATACTTCTTTAAAATATAAAATACCAATTACTTACTTCCAAGTGTACAAAAGTTTTAATTTAAAATTAATTACGAACGGAAACACGAAGTAAAAGTAACACCAAGCTAAGAAAGTAAGAGTAAATTATTTATTGAATATTATAATCTTCCTTAAATTCGGCAACAGAATTATAGATTAATATGTTAGTGACGTGCCATTATGTTAAGTGCCATTATAATTAGTAATTTTTTAATTAGAAGAATTTATGTCAAATAAATTTTACAATTTTATAGAAGTAGCAGGAGCTATAGTTTCTCATTGCATTCAAAATCGTGTTTTTAGAAAAAATTCCTAAAAAAAATATTAGTGAAACGCAAATTTCTATAGTTATTTTTTGTATTTGGTAACAAGAACGTAAGGTACACAAAATAATAAATCAATAATAAATTATAAATTATACAAAATAAATAGATGACCGAAAAAAAAACAGCATTTCAAAACTTAGAAAACATTTAAAAATTTAAAAAGCGTCAGGAGGCATTGAAGTTTTAGCAAATGTAATTTTCCTCAATGCCAATCTCGAAAATGAATTATTTTCAGACATTTGTATATTGCGATTTCCTTTGTTATTTTAACCACCTGAATTCAAATTTTAAATTTCGACAATCACTCCTGAAATACCTTGTATATTAAGCTTAAATGTCTTATTTTAGGTAAATGTAAATAATAACAGTAGTAGATGTATAAGGGCGCTTTTGGAAAAATGATGTATGTACTTTCACCTATAAAAAAATATTGATTTATAGTTAACTAATTTTATCATCAACTAATGTTAGAAAATTTACAAGTTTACTTTTTGTACTACTTTTGTTGACTTTTCTATAACCCCATACATCTAATTCAAGTAAACTTCTTTTTCTGTCAATTGTAAGAAACAAAAATTAAGCGCATTCCTCTTCCGTGGCGCCTGGAACCAGTACGTGTATACATATACATATAATTATTATATCCCATACAATTTGTTTCCTACTTGCACAGAGGCATTAGTTGCAATGGAAATCGACTAACAGAGTGGCAATATATGTAAAATATTATACCCATAGCATAATGTTATAAATATCAGTTTGCAGTAAACAGAGTAAAATCTGCTTCAATTTCAAATTACTTGAGTTATCGCGACTATAACATGCTTTGTAGCTACTTCCTCCAGTTTCAGTGTATAACGACCGAATGATTTACTGTTTCATTAACATGTCTTTCTGATAATAATTTATTTTAGAATTATATGATTATGATATAGTCCAATTAAATAACCCTATAAATCGCAAATTTGGTCAGCTTGTCTGAATTTTTGATATAAGTTAGTTTGATGTATATAATAACAATAAGTGACAGTAATTTTTTTTTCAACTCCCGGCCAGGGGTGAAAAAAGATAAAATAAAGGGGTTTTTCAAGATAACTCAAAAGGTGTAAGAACTAGAAAAATAAGTTTCTTATAAAAGTTGTAGAGCATAAAATTGTACATAAAAATGGTATATTGACTTTTTCTTGTATTATTAAAATTAACAGAGTTAGGGAAACTAGAAGTTAAGAGATGATTTCAGAAATTTAAAAAATCATAAGTAGAAAAATTAATAAATTTTATAATTTTTTTACCAATTAACTCTTAAAAATATAACCTATCTTTTCAGAGAAATAGACATAATTTTTAATTTTTAATAAAAAAAGTTAAAACAATTTCTCAAAGCGAACGTGATTTTTTATTTTTACAAAATTTCGAAAGCAACTTTTTTTATTTTAAATAATCGATCGAATGTCAGAAAAAATATATTTTAGCGTTAAATAATTAAAATTAACGATTAAAAAATTTTAATTGGTTTAACTTTTTTATTAAAAATTAAAAAATATATCTACTTTTTTTTCTAGTTCTTACTTCTTTTGAGTTATATTGAAAAACCCCTTTATTTTATTTTTTTTCACCCCTGGCCAGGGGTTGGAACAAAAATTACTGTCACTTATTGTTATTATATACCCTAAACTAACTTATATAAAAAAATCAGGCAAGTTGACCAAATTGCGATTTAAAGGCTCATTTAATTGGACTAATTAAATATTGTTCATCTAACAGTTAATATCATGAAATTTTAAAGCTACACTCACACGAATTTTATGTAAAATTATCTGACATAAGTAAAATGTACACTTTTCTCATCTTTGCTTTTGTAGAAATATTTTACAGTAGGTATAACAAAAACACATCTAAGTAAAAAGTAACAATATCCTGTAAAAAGAAGTATACTAAGAGTCAACTTCTTAATCACACCAGAGTTAACTTATAATAAAGTTTGTTTATTACCATAGTAACATATTGTTGTCACAAAAATTCCTTTAAAAAGGCACGTTTTAGTTTATTATGAAACCGGCCCTTAGGAATACAAAGGAGAAAGACCTTAACACATACATTTACACAACGTATCACTTGTGCAAACGTTTATATTTTTACAAACGTGTGAAAGTTAGTATCTAATAAAATAAGTCATAATTTTAGTAACTGCATACTTTTAAAAATATGTATCTATTCTTTTTTCAATATTTATTACCTGTGATAAATGAATTATTTTTTTAAATGTATTTTAAAGGCAATTTTAACAAATTCACATATTTAAAAATCAATTTTGTCAAACGAAGTCAAACAATCTTTTTTGATACCAAAAATTTAAGTACGCAAAAGATATCTAACCTCACAGACAAAACTGTCAAGATTACTGGAAATAACCACCTGAGATATACCTCTACAGTACGTGACAGACAGCTTGTAATAAATAATTCAGAAACAAGAACTAAACTAAAAACTAAAAGTGTATAAATATAATTAATACAAAAACCTGTAACTCATATATTGAAATTGTTAAATAATTCAATTATTCAAAGAAATATTATGTATTCTTGCTGTCATATTATCACTCTCAACAAAGATTAATCACGCAAAAAGTTGCTGCTACAAAGATATTTTTTTGTTTGCACATCTTAGGTTTCATCAGGTAGCATCAGGTGATAGGACAGCAATAATACAGGATATATAAATAATCGCTTTATTTAATAATTTCACTATATCAACTATGTGTTTTTGTATTAATTATATAAAGGGCGATTCACAAATTATCCAAAAAAAAATTTTGGATGTACAGGGGACTCTTACAAATACAATTTTGTAAATAAAAAATCAAAAAGAGCAGTTCGAAAATGATTTAAAAATACACTTCTGCACGGTACAGGAAACTGGTCCACTGTAAAACCTGACCTTACAAAAGGCGAAGGGTAATAAAAAACCGACAAAAATTTGAAAGATTTTCGCAAGGAAAGAAATAAATAAAATTTTATAACACATTATATCAGCAAATTCAATTGCTTTTGCCGTTATTGTTATTGTTAATTAATAAAATTAATTTGTGGTGTTAAGTAACAAAATAATTTGACATTCCTGTTGTTACACCTGTTCAAAATTTTGTCCACCGACATGTAGACACGTTTGGGCCCGTCTTACTCAGTTTCTACGAACTAACACAAATATTGTTCTGCTTCACCATAATACAAATGTTGTCTTGTTTGACCATAAATAAAAACGATATCCATCAATTCCGAGTTGCTATAAACGCAAGCCATTTTTGAAACTACTAAAAAAACTATTGTAAACACTATTGCAAAGACGATTGTAAAATCGGATTTCAGTATTCGGAGTCGCTGAGGCCACGTGGTTCTTCACGCGTATTGTGAATGACGCTAGAGACTACAGTTGACCAGCGTTGTAATGCTTGAAAATATTACAACTTCAATAATTTTTTTCTCGGAAACTATAAGAATTAAATTTTTTTTACGATATTGACTCCATTTCTCATGCCC